AGTGGCCTCGCTATAATTTCGAAGCATGATCGGATCGAGTCGGAGTATGGGAGTACATGCATCAGCAGTGTCAGCCCTTGTTATCGAACTACATCTCGACGGTGCTGAATACCTTCAAAATAGGAATACTCCGAAAACAAGTTGTTATGATCCTCTTGAGGAATACCACTCCGGTGGTGATGAGTTTCCCATTAACGCCATCAACAACACCAACACGACCACCACCATGACCATTGTCAAGAAGCAATGATGATGAGGAAGAAGAAACAACACGACCTAATGGGAGAAACTCTTGGCCATCATCATCATCTGCTCTTGTTTTATCCGACTATTAACGAATATTAGATCCTCGGGTGTTGTTATTTTGATATTATCATAATCCCCCACAGCCACACCAACATTTATATCCTTATATAAGCCTTCATTATGCAATATTTCTACTAATGATACATCATCAGTAACAACTCCATTATTCGATTGTCGTTTTCCAATAATATCCAAACCATCACTCAAGACTTTATAAGGTAATATCTAATACATAATATTATGGTTCGGGTATGATGATAATTCTCTCACCTGAGGTGTCTGAGCCTCCCACATAGTATTCCTATCGGGTGTCGAGTCCACTATCATTGATGATGATGATACATTATTATTATCATCCGCCTTTATTATCCGTTTAATAGTAGCTTTAGCATTAACTGCCAATACTGCTGCACCTCCACCACTTGATGCTGCCTCCATAGCAGTACGTGTTATTGCTTCCTTCCTTATTAATGGCCTAGCTGCATCATGTATGCATATCGATGAACTAAGGATACCATATTACTACTATCATTATGATGATGATGAGCCTTACCTTGGTACAACATAACGTAATGCATTAACACCATTCCTGACCGAGTCTTGCCTTTCTAGTCCAGGTCGTGCGAATGCTATTCTTACTATCCTTTTAGGTATATCTTTATACTTACCCTCACTATCAAAAAGTATTATAAGATAAGACTTTCAATATGGCTTACATCCTTAGCATAGGAGGCTCTTCAAAAGGTGTATTTGATATGTAGGGGATAATCAACTCCGTCAACATCATATCATCATTACCATCCTCTTCTTGCATCATCGACTTTATAAAGGCATTGATGTGATCTCTGAATATTGACTCAAACTGAATAGCAACAACACTACTTATGGCTGCTAATACTACTATTACCTCTTCAGCACATACTATAACGATCTGTCTAGTTAAAGGATGTTTTATATAGGTATCGAAGGCTCTGAATAACAACAATTACTACTAATACCACAACTTGGTGGTATTATTATTACCTTATTGCTGATGATCTCCCATCATGTAATGGTAGATACTGTTTAGGTGATATATTCTTATTCTTCTTCTCATCATCATCACCACCTTGCATCATTCTATTACCCTTACCACCAGATAATAATATCACAGAGAATGGTTTAGGATCAGTAGTAGTAGTAGTATGCTTTCGATTGAATCCCCTCCCTCCTTCTCCTCCTCCTCCTCTTCGTCCTATTGCCTTCGTAGCTTTCCTTTGCCGTATCCTATGCCCGATTGATAGTATACCAAGAATGGTGCTCAGGTATAATATACTCCTATTCATGTTTGTAATTATGGTCATAATATGGTTAGATAATAAACCCACGTTGTTGTAATGGTTGTCCGCCGCCGCCGCCGACATATTACTCCTCTTATGATGTGATAGGAAGTGTGAGTGCCTACTACTACCATCTGTAGTGCTTAGTGTTGATATGGTGTTGTTGACAAATAATGATGATGATGGATTGTATTCGTTGTTATAAGGTATTACGATTAGTAGTAGTAGTATAATAAAGAGTACTAAGATTAGTACAGACGACCCTAGTAAAGGGGAGGAGCGGGCTCTACTCCTATCATTAATAACAACGGGTTTAACCATTGATAATGATGATAAAGATAAACGAGAAACAAAAGGAGGAATATGGATACATGTTATTGTTAGCAACACAACAATTATGATAGTTATAATAATGTATTGTCTTTGAACTTTGATGTCATCATGAACAGTGGTGTTGTTATTATAATTGATCCTGTAACCATAACCACTGTATGGACTCTATAA